CCCCCCCCCCCCCCGCCAGCTCTGCGATACCCCTCACTCCCATCCTGCAGCTCCCCACTCCCAACTCACAGCCAATCCCTTCTACTCCAGTGTCGGAGGACTTGGGGACGGAGAGGGGAGGACAAGCTTAGTTTCTGGATCCTGTGACGCAGGGAGATGGAATCACCATGTATGATGCACACCGGATTCCTGAGGTTTGTTTGGGGGGAGGAGATGACCCTTCCCAGGGACCTGTCTGACAATCCAAACATCATCCATCCCTCCGGCACTGGCCGGAAGGAGCTGGGACAGTGCGAAAGGGCGTTAGCCGGATCTGAACCCCACAGGACTCCGCCCATACCCCAGGAACAGAGGCTGCTGGCACTCAATGGCCACCGTTCTCCTCCTGGCTGAGAGACACTTTCCCACCTTCCCCTGTATCGGGAGTCCCAGGGTCAGTCCCAGCTTGGAGGGGTGACACCCCTCACCCAGCCCCATCACCTGGGGAGCAGGACACTCTGCTCTTTGGGAAGGGGAGTGCAGGGGAAGGAGGGTCCCAGATGACCCGAGGCAGCTCAGCCGCATCCCCGACACTAGCACAGAAATGAAAACAAAGGGGATCAAAGATGAGAAGCGTATGGAAAACCTGCCTCTGTCCGCCGAGCAGATGGGCCTCAGCAGCTTACGCTGGGGATAGAGGGCAAAGCTGCAGCGTCATGGTTACAATGAGAGCTGCACACACTCCCCCACTCCTGTCCTTCCAGGCCAGCTGGGCCCCTCCCCAGTGCTCTGCACGCACAGCTGCTCCTTACCTGCATTTCCGAGCTGTTTGTAAAACCGATATTCCAGATGCAGCTGTGGGGCTCGGGATTTTATCGGTTCCTTGTGGGGAGCGAGAGAAAGAGAGAGGAGGTGAGCAAATGAGCGGGCCGTGCAGGGTCTCAGGAAGGGCTGATTACTTCAGGCAAGGCAAATGGCTGCAGCACATTTTACAGCTCACCCAAACGTTCATTACAGAGCAGAGAAGGGGTCTGGTCTATGGGAAGTTGGCATGAAATGGAGACCAACCCTCAGGGGTGGACATCTGATCCACTGGGCAATTTTCTTAATTTACAGGAAATGAATCGAAACCAAAGAATGAGACGGGGAGAGAATGTAGGTCCCTGCGTGAGAGAGAACGGACATGGCAGGAAATGGTCCCAACGAGGGACCGGCATCACCACAAAGCACAAGGCCTCAGTTACACGAAGGCCAGGGTGATGCAAAGGGTCTGAGGTATAATGGAGACTCCAGGCCAGAGATGATGATCTCTCTCCTCTGACTTTGTTTCTGGTCAGTCGCTTTTGGGGCAGGGAGGGAGGAGAAAGGCTGGAGAATCTGTACCTTGGCAATCCCACTCACTTCTGGCACCAGGGGCCAAGAGGCAGAGTAACTGAGCAGGAAACCTGCCCCTGGGACTCTCTCTCTGACAGAATCTCTCTTAGCACCAGGAACCTCAGGGATGCTGTATTCCGTCCAGCCTTTCATTAAAGGCCTCTCTGGTCTTTGGCAAACTGCGCCGTACGGTCGCTTCCTTCCCAAAGCCCTGGGCTTAGTGGCAAGGCCACGTGGCTGCTCGAAGCCAGTGTGTTCGGTGCCCAAACGGTTTTATTGCAATGCATTCCCCAAAGCAGGGGCCAGGCACATGGGGATTTGCCACCGGACAGCTCGGGCACACAGGGTGAGAATTCCTAAAACCCTCGGCTGGAGCTTTGGGGAGTTTCACCAGCAGTTGCCCTGGGAGGAGAGTTAGGTCAATGCCCCGTGCTTTAGCCACCCCCTCTGGGGAACCCTGAAAGTGCCAAGCAGGGAGAGCAGAGCCAATTACACCCCTAGAGCCTGGGGCACCGGACGAGGGGGAAGGCTCAGATTAGGAGGCAGCGAGGGGCAATGTCTGTGCAGCTAGGACAGCACCGGCTCACACAGGAGCAGTTCCATTAGCTCCACAAACAGATGAGGTTTTCATCCCCCCACACCCCAGTCTCCCACTCACCTAAGCTACAAAGGGACACTCGAGTTCCTGCTGTTGAGTGGAAGGCTCTGCCATGCAAGGTTTCTCTACCCTTCTCGGCACATCTACCCCACGATGCCAGTTCTGGGGTATGTGGACTTGGGCCCTTTCCCCCTACCCTTCCTGGCCTGCACTCCAGATATGGGCTGGGGCCAGTCCCAACAGTGGAGTGCTGCTCAAGCAGAGAAATGCAGCTTCCACAGGTGAGTTTGTTAGACACCTCGTGATGGGAGGGGACTGCAGGAAGGGAGACAGCAACAGGCTGCCTGTTCCCTCTGCTGCTAGGCCAATGCAAGGGGAGGCTGAGCAGGAGGCAGCCTTGTCCCAAGTGGCATGGCAAGAAACGCAGTGCTAGGGAAAGGTACCGATGGGAACCTAGGAGGGGATACTGAAGCTCCCCGAGTGCGTCTCATCCTGACCTGGATAACGCAAGGTCCATGGCTCTTTCACTCTTGGTCTCTCTGCTGAGACTCCCCGGTACCAATCGTAGAGATGGCTAGTGTGTGGCGGACACTAGGAAAGTTCTGGAGTTGCCATGATCCAGCTGAGTCAACAGAGCTTCAGAGCCACACGCTTCTCACGCCCAAACCTCATGGCTTGGTGACTGCAATAATTGCTTTGCATGCACTAGGTTCTCAACCACCGCCTAACACATCTTACATAGCCTCTATGTAACAACTGGTTCAGCTAGAGACATTTTAACCCATTAGTAAAAGGCCAGGCTCTGAAACACTAGCTAACCTGGACAGCACACTGAGAGGGAAGGAAAAGAAACTCACCAATTTTATAGCTACGTATTCATTCGTGTAGAGATTCTTCCCTGCAGAAAGAGATGAGAGAAATAACATTGGGAGCGAGTGAAACTTACAAACAACCCCCAGGTGTCAAATGCAGCAGGCTGGGAACAAGCCAAATTCTCTAGCAAGCTCTTATTTTTAAAAGCATCCCCAGCAGGTCAGGCGGTTTGCAGAGAAGCGAATGGGGAGATCTTTGTCCCCTCGGTTCGTAACAAGGAACAGTCTCTGTACAGTTAGCGACAGGGTGTGCTGCAGTTCTTTATTCCCAAGGCAGCACACTCGGATTCACTTGCTATTTGGAAGCTACAAGTTGTTCGGGTGACTGGTGAGGCGCTGGGAATGGAGAGGTCCCCATATGTAATGTTCTCTCAGGATGGAAGCAGTGCATGCTGGGACCTGTAGTTTTTCCAGGCCTCATCTCTGCAATAAGTAGGTGAAGGTACTTTCAATCTATTGCATTTTATGGAAGTTGGCACAGCCCCCAGCAAGTTACCAAGGTGCCCTGCGCTGCTAGAAAAGTCTGGGCATGGCCCTTAGCTCACCGTGAACTAGCAACGTGGGACTGCAAACATCCGCAGTGGGGAGGGAGGGGGGTTTCCTGCTCCTCCAGCAGCAGAGGGTCTTGTGCAATAGCAGATGAGCCTTGGCCTTACCTCACAGCTCCTTCATCTCAAAATGGGACACAAGCCCCAAAGCTAGGACACCGCAAACAGCAGCCCAGGATGAGAACGGCGCAGGGCGTCTCTCCTTAAAGCACATCTGCTGCTCTGTGTTTGTACAGCACCTGGCACAATGAGGCCCTCAGGCACTGCTGTAATTACCACATTACTACTACTAACGAACCATTGCTTCTCTGGAGCCCCGGGTCCCAGTGGGAGCGGAACGGCTACTTGCCATGATAACTGCGCTCCTCTGGGGAGATGGCCTGCACAGACCCACTCTGCAGGTGCACCCGCACATGAGCTTGGAGCCCCATGGGGCTATCCCGGCTTCAATCCCACCCCAGGGTATTCAGAGGGGCACCACCATCACCATGGGAACAAAGGGTCCGCTAGGCTCTGCAGAACTCTGGTTTGCTGCCTGCGGCAGTCAGCAGAGAACAAGCAGCAGTTGGGCTGTCCGCCCTTATCTAGCCCCAGGGCAAGCTTCCCCAAGGGACAGCACCATTTAGAAGGCCCAAGCCCAACAGCCTCCCTCACGGCCAACCCATTGGGGATGGAACCGGGCACCTCCAGAACCGAACGCAGGAGTCTCTGCAGCTGCAGCTAAAAAGCTGGACTCCATAGCTGGTGCTGTAACAGACGCGTACCCTCTGTGTATTGGGGACGTGTAATACATTGGGTCGCAAAGGTTTACATGCAGCCTCTGCGGAGCAGATCCATGCAGGGAATCACCTCAGAGAGCAGAAGGGAGCTCCTTTGAACACCCAGTCCCTTTACTTAGCCCAAGGCTCCAGTTACAGCAGAGGATTAGTTTTTGCTCGATGATACACTAGGGACGGCCAGCACTGCCCCCAGGGGTCTGTCTAGTCCCATCGCGCTGGGGTCTTTTCCTTGTGTGTAACATCTGACCGCAAACAACTTTCACTTAGCCACAGCCTCCCCATCCCGCGCCTCAGAGGAACACCACCCTAGGGAGGGAGCGGTTCCCCTTCTGCAGCCGGGGGAGCAGGGCAGCACGACGCTGGGTTAAACCCCAGGGCCAGCCATTTCCATGGGACTGAGCTGGATTTGAGTGCAAATCTCAGGAAACGGCAAGGGCAGGACCCTAGTCTCCTCACATCGATACAGGGCCCTTACAGAGCCCCGAGATGGTGCCCAACGGTAGATAATGCACAAAATGGATTTAGTTACATGATTCCAACACGCGCGACCAAGTGGCTAGAGCACAGGATTCCCGGGCTCCATTCCAGCCTGACCCATTGTATCACCTCAGGCAAGTCGCATCTCTTGCTCTGTGCCTCAGTTTCCGCATCCATACAATGGGGATAACAATTCTTCGCTCTCACCACAGCTCTTTTAATCAGTAGATCTCAAGTAATAACAATGTTTTCATCCCGCAGAGGGGGAAGGAAGGGGGAAATCAGCGATGGCTGGTCACGTACTCTGAGATGGAAGGCTAAGATATGGGAAACTTGCCTGCCGGCCTAAAGCTGGGGAAGGGAATGCTGCACAGCTGGGGCTGATAGTGGAACCTTCACCATCAACAGGGCTTGGAAATTCATTTATCTGAAGGGCGGCAGATTCTCAGTCCAAGTTCTAGATTTGCTACAGTTCTGAAGGCGAAATTTCCTGTTTTTCCTGAATGGGGGTCGGGGATGTCCACACACATCACTCCCAAGCCATGGCACCGTTCTGGTTTATAACAACTGTAGTGCGGCCAATGCTCACGTGTGACCAGCCTAGCAGGCTCTGCTAATTTCCAGGCCACTCAAAAGCTGTTCTCTCACTGTCCTGGCTTGGGACAGTTCAGAGTCACATTGCCCCTGAAGGAGTTTTGGCGGAGGCAGAATTCCTCACCTGCTGCTAGATTCCTTCCTGCAGTGCAGCATCTTCCCCACAGCTTTGCGAGGTCCAGGAGCACTGGGGACAGGGCATGGCCTAACTCCTTCCCACCCCAGCTGGGGAGTCTGGTGCCCTAAAGGTTGTAAGGAGGAAGCAATCCCTATTGTCCAGAGATCTCCATCTCAGGGTGCATTGTTATTTACACCACTCAGTTATCTGTTACAGGTGGGCACAGAATGCTGGGTGCCCTCTATCTCATCCCAACCCACGCCCCGTGCTCCCCATCTGTGGCACGCATGATGCATGGATGACAGACCCGTGCGATGACCTTGACCTCTCTGGGCTGGGAGACTGTAGCCTGTTTGTTGGGTACTCATCTCCCCAGGGCAGACACGTAGCAGACGTCTCCTGGCTAGTAACCGTCAGAGCAAGAGGGGAGTTGTCATTAAATGACGTATATATTTAGAAAGAGAAGGGACAGATGGGAATACAGAGCAGCGTTGACCCTTGCGCTGCCTACGGCAACAGGGGGTAGCAATATTCACACATGTGACTAGCAGTGGCCAAGGTTTTCCCAAGTGACTAGTGATTTTAGGTGTCCAGCTAGAAATGCCTGAAAGGGGCCTGATTCCCAGAGAGGGTACTCAGCATTTTTTGGAAGACAGGTGCTTTTAAGGTGTCTCCAGTAGGCTCCCAAAATCGCCAGTCACTTTGGAAAATCGTGGCCAGTGTCCTCAGTTTATAGTTGCCTCTTGCTAGCCACAGCCTCCCTGGCATTGGACTGGAAGTCCGGGCCCCCTCCGTCTCCTGTCCCACAAAGCTGAGCTCAGCACCTGCAGATGTTAGCCATGGGAAGCCAGGGCTGCCTCTAGCCTTCTCCCCTCTGGGTACATCAAAGAGTTTTTTAAACTCCAGTTAATGGATTGCTAATTAACAGGAGTCATCCACCACATCAGCATGACCCTGGTCACTCCACAACTGCTTGTTCTGGGCTCCCACACGCCAAATGAGCAGGTACAAATGTGAGAGAGGTAACTCAAGTTACCAGGTAAATTGGTTAACTCCAGGTAAAAAGCCACTAGCATAAACAACCCCTTTGTCAGCTAGTGGGTCAGGGCAACATTCAGATTCCAACACCTCGAGGGACCATCACGATCATCTAGTCTGACCTCCTCCAACTTGCAAGCCAGAGATCCACCCTGCATAATCTCTGCACCAAGTCCATAACTTCTGGCTGAGCTAGAGCAACTCTCTTACAAGATATCCAGTCTTTAAATCCAGACCACAAGTGATGGAGAATGCCCCGCAGCCCACAGTAAATTGGTCTAACGGTTAATTACTCTCATTGTTAAAAAATTGTGCCTTATTTTAGGTAAGTCACGAAGATTCTACATAGAGTGTCAGAAACAGACTCATCAACCCAATACCAAAATATGAACCTCTCCCCTTCGAAAGCCAGCAACTCTAGCAACGCTGTACTTTTTATTTTGATAGCATCCTTTAATTGATATGCATATGTATAAAGTATTGTGTCCATACACTGCTAGTGCACCCAGGGAGATGGTCCGAGGTAGTGACCACAAGACGCAGTATTCCCTGACAGCATTTTCTTTCTAACTCTGTCCCCCTATTGCCATTGGCGCTCACAGGCTGGAGCTTTTGAAGAAGCTGGCCTGCTTTCCCTTTGCAACGAACAATGGAAACAGCAGAAGGCACCTCCAGGCTGAGAACACAGTACCTCCTGGTGCTTGGCCAGCAGGTGGCAGGGAAAAATGCCTTGTCCCTCCACCTGTTTAAAGGAGAAAGGGCCACAGTGGAAACCGAAGCAGCGAGATTTACCCAAAATCTTTGTGTTGGAAGAGAATTAGAGTCACGTTAAAGCTGTATTTAACTTCTGCACAAGCAGGAAATGCGAATCATTATCATTCAGCTCAGCAGGACCGCTGGAGTGCGCATGTCACATACCTGCAGTCTAGGGAAAAGGAAAACCTAGGGATTATTATTACAGCCTAAAGCATCTCTGACTTTAAAAGCCAAAACAAACTTTTTGCACAAGCCTATCACCCTTCCCTCTGCCCCTTAATGCTTTGCACAACCTCTCCGGCAGAAGGCACGGATTTGTGAGCCAGTCTGAAAAGGTTCTTCTCAGAGTGGCGCTTGATGTGCACAGCTGAGGAAGAGTTCATAGAGCCATGAACTGGGGCTGGAAGGGGAACCATCCTTCAGAATATAAATTACAGGAGACTTATTTAAACCTTCCATGGGACTCCGGGAAATTTCAGCCAAAGCTGGGTGCCTCAAATTTAGCACCTCAGTAAGTGGCCTGAATATCAAAGATGCAGCACACGGCGAACACCCGGGGCTTATAAAGGAAGCTGCACCATACTACAGGGTTTATACCGCAGCCAGTGCCAAGCAGGCATACACCTTATATGAATCCTTTAACACATTTCTATCACATCACCCCTGAGCCTGGTTAGGAAGAGAATTCAATGGGGTCTGTTTCCAAAAGGATCTAA